CTTACTTCTGATCGCGTTATGGTCGCTTCTCATCGCTTTGGTCGCTTCTCATCGTTTCTGTCTGAACCAATCATAATTGGTCATCATTAGCTTTTGCTCTTAAGTATGAGTTAATCTTCTTATCCCATGTGATCACATGGATTTCGAAAATGACTGGAGAAGGTCTGTCCGCTCTCCGAACAATGACAAAAATCATCGTTCTGCCGGGTGTTCCAGATAGTCATTCACGAAAACATCATGAAAACATCAACAACACTTGTTTCACTGGTTGTTTGCCTCACACATGGATTTGTTCCATCGCAACCAAGGAGCTCTAGCCTTTCACCGAGCACCGAACTACCTATGGTGTTCGATTTTTTCAAGAAAAGGAGTGAAGAAGGTCTCGATCAACTTTCCAGGTTTTCCGATGCGGCGTCAAAAGGCGAGTTGGGCAAAGGATTGGCTGATCTGGCCTCCTATACCAGAGAATCAAACGAAGCTTTTGCTACAGGTTTAGCAAAAAGTAGAAACCGGTTGCTTTCAGACCTGGAAGGTCTATTTACCGGATCTGGAGATATTCTCGAGGATCTGCAAGATATCCTTCTCCAAGCAGATCTGGGAATGATGACCTCTGAAGATATCGTGGAAGAAGTAAAAAGCTTTCGAGAGGGCTCGACAAAGTTTCTATCACGAGACGACCTAAAGAGTGTCATGCGTGGAAAACTAATCGAGATCTTGGAATTCAGGAACAGCACAATTCGATTCGCAGAGGACAACGAAGCAATTCCGACTGTCTTGTTTATACTAGGTGCAAATGGAATGGGAAAGTAAGTCTGGAAGCAAAACCATTTTATTGCTGCAAAACTATGTACTCAATGACCTTCCTGGTAAACAAGGACTACTACAATTGGAAAGCTGGCCTATCGCTTGAGGAACGAGGGGGAACAAAAGGTGCTTTTGGCCGCTTGTGATACCTTTCGCGCTGGTGCAGTTGACCAGCTCAAACAGTGGGCTGACAGAGCAGAAGTGGACATCTGTGAACCATCAGAGAATGCAAAATCACCAGCAGCCGTTCTGTATAGTGCGCTGGAGACCGCTATTGCAGGAGGATACGACACATTATTGGTTGACACATCTGGGCGTCTCAGCAACAATGATGCCTTGACAGCAGAACTCGTCAAAATGAAAAAGGTCATCCAGAAACGGTTATCTATGCAACGTGATGAAAACGACAAACCAGTTCTGAATCAGGATGTTCCCCACGAGAGTCTTCTTGTTTTGGACGCTGCACAAGGGAGAATGGCTCTAGATTCCGCCAAAGTATGGAATAAAGAAGTCGGGCTGACCGGATTGGTACTTACAAAGCTTGATGGGAGTGCACGAGGCGGAAGTGTAGTCTCAATAAGCCGAGAGCTAGACCTCCCGGTAAAGCTAATTGGGGTGGGAGAAGGAATCAATGACTTGCGTGACGTAAGTTGATGTTTTTTAGCGTCTTTATTTTTTGCTCACCCAGGTCTAATCAAATTACATCCTCTATGTTACAGTTCGAACCTGAACGGTTTGCGGATGGTCTTTTGGGTATTGGTGCAGCTGGAGGAACGTCATCCGCAAACGAAGGCACATTTTTGGCAGCGAGACTAGAAGGCTTACGAAAGGAGCGATCAGAACGGGCTGCAATCAAAGTCGAGGATCCGAAGAAATCTGAGACGTCGGCCGGAATTGACACAAGTGCAGTTAACAAAGCTGTGATCCAGGCCACGGCACCGTTGTCTACTAATCCCGGGTCGTCGAAGAATCGAAAAAAGAGCAAGTGTAAAAAGAATAAAAGGAAGCGATAAGATTTTAAAACGGATGATTGATCGGCAAGACGGGAGACGTATGGGCGTTTTCTACAGTAGCTCTTCCGGCAACAGTGCGGCGGTGCTGTGACCTTGTTTAGCGTGAATGTTTAGCGTGGATTTGGACCTATCAAAGTACCTTCGCGCTAAACATGAATTGGATGAACGAAGTGCAGACGACGATAGTGAAATACTGGAACGGCCGGGAACGGTGGTCAAACGAGTCAAATCGAAGTTGTAAGCTGCAGGAAAATGGGAATCTTGGAGACGGAATCTTGCGAAATCTTAGTGGTCGTACAGATTACTTGTTTTAAGACATTCAAAGAACATCATTCCTGTTTGCGGAGGGTGGGAGCGTTCCACTACGCGCGTCAAGAAATATTCATTGAGAACTAATCTCCCTTTAATTGATTTTTTAATCATCCAGTATGTTGGCAATGCTAGAATATTCGACGCTCCATAACAACTGGCGGATTGGCTGGCTCGTGGACCACTGGTCCATGGATTGACTTGCTCGTGGACCACTGGTCCACGGCTCGACGTGCTCGTGGACCACTGGTCCACGGATCGATATCCTCGTGGACCACTGGTCCACGGCTCGACGTGCTCGTGGACCAGTGGACCATCCAATCACATTGCCCCATTCCAATTGCCGCTGCCGGGATTTGCAGCCAGTTGGCAAGAAGATTGGCGGGAATGCCCGGCAAAAACAATGACAATCCAAACGGCAGATATTATCAATCAATGTTGTACATCACATTGAAACGCTAACAAACGTCGATCTGATGGATTCGCCCACTGCTTTCTGGACCAAATGGTGGAAAATGGCGCAAACAAGCTGCCCAGCAATCTATGGCCATGTCAAATAAGGCATTTGTTGGTGGACCAACCGAAGATGAAGTGAATGAGTGGTTTGAGCACAAAAGAGAGCAACAGGAGGCTGCTGAATGTATTTACCAAGCCTTGATGGCATGGCACAAGTCCTCTAATGGCGAACAGCCTCCCCTCAATGCTTTTACGTGCCATTATCTAATGGGCGACTGTTGCGATTTAGGGTTGCTTTCCGCCTTTTCGAGAAGGACTTCCAAAAGTATTTTTGTGAGCTTAGCCCATGGGATTTGACGTTTGGCCAAGAACAATTTCCCATCCCTGAATCCATTGAAGGTTCATGCTGAATCCTGGTTTGCGTTTTGTAGTAGTGGCGTTTTAAGTAGGTCCTAAATCAGTTGAACAGTCATTAAAAATTCAAAGAAACTTGCAAGTTGTTGTAGTCCTAGACTAGAGTCATTGAAAATTGAAACATCGACAATTCTATCTATAACTACTGCAGCCGCATTTGTTATGGTACAAACAGCAAAGTGCAACTACTAGATCCCCCGGGGGGGGGGGAATAAGAGAAAGGAAAGCGAAGAAAGAGAAGAGAAGAGAAAAGAGGAGAAAGCAACAGAACAAAAAATGTCTCTACAACACATCACTGGCCTCATGCACAGCATCGCAAGACAATATACTCCATGATCCTGGTCTTAGCCAGGACTTTGACAGATTTGAACGAGATAACAATGATCGATTGTTTGATATAGGTCCACCATCCCTACTAGCTACTTTGTTCTACGATTCACAGATTTCCAGGTCCCGCGTTCTCCAACAATGTGATTGGATGGTCCACTGGACCATCCAATCATAATGAAGTGGACGGTAGGACCATCCAATCATATTGTCTCGATATCCTTCGAGGCGGGTGCAAAATAGACTTTGTTCTACGATGCACCGATTTCCAGGTCCCGCTTTCTTCAATGTGATTGGATGGTCCACAGGACCATCCAATCATATTGAAATGGACGACAGGACCATCCAATCATATTGTCCCGATATCCTTAGAGCCGGGTGCGAATAGATATTCAGCTACTTTGTTCTACGATTCACAGATTTCCAGGTCCCGCTTTCTCCAACAATGTGATTGGATGGTCCACTGGACCATCCAATCATAATGAAGTTGACGGTAGGACCATCCAATCATATTGTCTCGAGGCGGGTGCAAAATAGACTTTGTTCTACAATCCAGGTCCCGCTTTCTTCAATGTGATTGGATGGTCCACTGGACCATCCAATCATATTGAAATGGACGACAGGACCATCCAATCATATTGTCTCGATATTGTTTGTAGCACGTGCAATTCACTAATTCAGCTGCTTTACTCTAATATGATTGGATGGACCACTGGTCCACGGCTCGATATCCTCGTGGACCACTGGTCCACGGCTCGACTGGCTCGTGGACCACTGGTCCACGGCTCGATATCCTCGTGGACCACTGGTCCACGGCTCGACTGGCTCGTGGACCACTTGTCCACGGCTCGACTGTCTCGTCCTAGCGACCGTTCCGGTCAGCATTCACTAAAAAGTGGTCTGATAATTCACATTTTAAAAAAACTTTTAATGCCAGGGGAATGTGTCTCACGAACATTTTATTCTTCTTCGAAGCACTCTTGCGAAGGGGAATTACATTTAATATTTCTACAAAATTTCAACGGGAATCGGACTCTTCGTCGGACTAAGATTCCTTTTTCAGTCTTCCGCATATAAGATGGCCGACCAATACGACCGCCGTTCCCGGCCGTTCCTGTACCCAAACCTCACCACAATGACAATTCAACTCTACACTGGCTTAGAATTAGATTGAATTTGTAGTCGAATGTTAATATATTGTATTCTATCTTGTTGTGGATGTCATGGGAGGAGGTCGTTGCCTAGATACAACTGGAAACCTGGTCACTCTCACTCATAGGGCAAGCAACAGGCAGTGCACACCATAATCATTCAGCCATGATCTTTGGGTTTTCGTCATATTTGATTTGCCAGGCGGGTTGTCACATTCCTCATTTCTCTTTCATGTATCGTCTTTGAGCGCTATTTTGAGGAAGCGCTGGCTTGTAGGTATCAATCATTGGAGAATTGTTGCCGCCAAGCAATTGCTGCTGCTACCCCTGCCTGAAACCTTGTATTGCATCAGCTACAGTCGCAAGTGCCTTCATATGCTGTGCACTCTTGGCATCTCACACATTTCGCTGAAAGTTCTGATTTCTTTCACTCTGCTCAGTTGATGACAGGCAGCATTCCATTTGCTGGCAAGAGTTTGCCTTCATCCGCTTCGTCTGGAAATCTTAGATGCTCTCATTATCTCAGTCTGCACAGTGGACAACAGCGCTTATGCCGATCTTCGAAGCCAACGAGCAAGGAGATAGCAAAACAATATTATTCCCCTTGCGGGCAACACTGACTCTAGTAGTATCCAGCTCGTTCGTTTCAGCCCCCACGGCGGTAGATTGTTGGCGAAACGTATGTTTCTTCCTCTTCTTCGGTTCCAATCTTGTCTTCTTCATCATTTGATGGCTCGGTTTTGGGTAACAGGGCTCGACAGCAGCACTGTGGCTTCACCTCGTTGGATTACAAGAAATACACATCACAATTGCCAACTGCCTTCGGCAGCTGTCATCATCAGTCTATTCCTTGTCTCCAGTTCTCAGTTTCATTTGTTGTTCGCTATGAGGAAGGTTGTGAAAACAAGTAGCTACTATATGGTGTTGAATGATTCGGTTAACGATTTTGTGGTGTCATCCATCATCTTATATTTCCGGGGTACTTTGGGGCATTTTATTCGGAACGAGTAATTTTTATTCGGAACAGTAATTTTTACTCGGAACGAGTAATTTTTATTCGGAACGAGTAATTTCATAGAAGTAATGAGTCGCGACCTGAAAGCAGTTTTTCCATCATTATGTCAGTTGTGCCCCTAAATAAATTATTAATGACTAAAGATTTAAAAAAATGTCCCTTTTGGTTCTAAACTTTTTATGAATGACAAGATGTTCTTATATATGAGAAATGTCTTCTTCGTTATTTAGTCATCTCGCGAGAAGGAACCACAAGGAATTCTAAAGTCATCGATCTGCCGGGTGTTCCTGATGCTACATACGAGAAGCGAGTAGGTTTGGCACAGTAGCGAGGTACTAAGTTACTGACTGGTTTGCACCGAGGTCGAATCATAGGATTCGAAAGGGACAATCAATAGGATTGACAAACAACCCCGGACCAAATGGGGTACCGAGCTATGGTGCAAATGAGAGAGAGGGTGGTGAGGGCGGGAAAAGCAAAAAAGCTGACGGTCTTGTCCGAGCAGCTAAGCTCCTTCTATCGTCTCCATCATCCCACAAGCTCCCATTGCGAACAATGTCTTCTCCAATCTTCCGTCCTCTTCGTCAACACTCTTTGCTCCGTCCGCCAACCGTGTACTTCACTGAAGCGCGCCGTAATCGACACAACAGAAATTGAGACTAAGGAAGAGCTAGAAACGCCCATACGTCTCCCGTCTTGCCGATCAAGTTTCGATTCCTTTGAATCGTCACTACGGTTTCAGAGAAACATTGAGCTGGAGGGCTGGCGCGCTACGTCTTCAAGTACCGTACCTTATGACCTTGCACGTAAAACTACTTGGCGGAGCGACCGAAGGTCGCGAGGCCCATGATCAGACGCGACCCGGTAAGAGCGACCCAAATGTTGCCGGCCGGCCATGCGCCTGCCAACCATCCAGCTACAGGACAAAAAAGCCAACGTCATTGGTGATAGACCGGGCTTGCTCTCCTTTAAAAAACATTTCAGCGACAAGACATAAAAAAACATCAACATCAACACGACAACTGGCATTCCTATCAGGTTGCTCGCAGCATAGCATAGTTGCACAATTGAACCATCTCCTCTTTCCTTCACTAGCCCGTAGCAACGTTACCAAAGTCCTCAGAGACCGTTTCCTCCATCAACTTCCGCACATTCCAGCTTTTTACACATCTGTTTCTCATCTTCCATTGCGCGGAGTGACAGGCAGTGTGTAGCTACGAAAGTTTTTTGTGTGTTGTGTCTTGTCCTCGCCTCTAGTAGGTTGGAGACTTGGTGCGGTGAAGTATTATGATGCCAGGATAGTCTACAGGTAGGAAGCGCACTGCTGGCAAGGTTGGAAGGAAGAAGAAGGCTGATATTAGTTGCATACAAAATGCCACAACCCAAAAGATTGCTTCAAAAGTTGTCACTCGTTCTGTTGCTGCAGCATCTACTGCTAAGTCCGCAATCACTCAATTGAACAGTCCTTCCAGCAAACCGAAGCCTGCTCCATCCATGACCCGCGTTGAAGAAAAAACGTCAACTGCCCCATCTGATTCAGAAGCTCCAGCCTTGAGCACCAGGGCTGAACAGAAACGGAATTCTGCTCCATCCAGGAAAAACGTTGAAGAAGCAATGGTGTCTGGCCCATCCAATTCTGAAACTCCCTTGGCATCAGAAGATCATGTTCATGATGAACAAAAGGTGATTGCATCCCTTCCAACAGAAAAAAGCATTCCACCACCACTCAAAGACAATGATCAAGTTGTACCACAACAAGAAGATAATGGTGATGATGGAGAAGATATCAGGCAATCATCACCAGAGGACAACGGCCCGCCTGCACCGTAATTAGAACATTACGACAAAGAAGAAAAGGTGACCACCCCACCAGAAGCGACTACCTCCCAACCATCAGAGAATTGGAGCCTGTCGTTATCTGATGATAGTCTGGAAGAATTCTCTGACAAGATTTCTGAGTGGTCTTTTGCGCTGTCTCACCGGACCGCCATTCCTGGTGACAAAGACTATGAAAGCAACAACGAGGAAGCTGCTCTCAGCCCCGTTACTGAAGCTAGAGACTGCCACACTACTTTCAAACACGGACCCAACATCTCCTTTACCATTCTTGACTTACCAGTTGAAATGGCTCAAGGTGACGAAATCTATACAAAAAGAAATTGGAGTGTAGGCAGACTTCATGCCAGGGTCCAAGGCTCCAATACTACACTTAAGAATGTCGATTTTGATGAAGGTATTTCTAGTGACGAGGTGAACTATCTAGTGTGGAATAGTCAATCGGAAATCAGGCAAGTTTTGGGTAAAGGAGAGAAAAGCGGGTGTAGGGACAAGTATCTTGAAATACTTGGTGCTCAAATTGGCTTCTTGAAAAGACAGGGGATCGGTGCCAGAATAGATGCAATGGAAGAAAAAAAGGGAAGGGAAGGCAAAAATAAAAGTTGGTCTTGGCGATGAAGGAGTTGGTGCACTAGAAACAGAGATGGCAACAAAGAGGGCTCGGAGGAAAGCTGGCCTTGGTGACGACGACTTGAATGACTATTGGGATCCATCAGGTGTAACAAGAAACAGAAAGCCAAACATTGGACTATCTGCGGAACAAGTGCAGTTGAGGGAGCAGCGGATGAAGAGGACCGATCTGAAAGCTGTTTTTGCAAGTGACAAACCTACACATCATACCGAGGTCTTTAGTAACTTACTTTTGCAGTCAGAACTACGATGCCACTTCTCAATTCAAAATGTTGTCCCACTGGGTCCACTGTTCTGTTGGAGCTGTCGAGTGTTTGTCAGTTAAAGCGTCTCGGAAATTTGACGGGCTTAACGGATTTGCCCAATGCATCACACTCCTAGAAGAACAAGAACTTGTTATTTTTGTACCACAGGCGAGGGATGGGACCAAGACTCATGCTGTAACATTCTGTCATGGATTGATATTTGATGCCACGCAACAATACCCCCTGAGGCTATCGGAAGAGTCCCTTAGTTTCATCGCAGGATCTGCAGGTTTTGCAGGCATCTGGCGTGCACGTGTCTTTAGCCTTACCAAGAACACTCCAAAGTAGTAAAGAAATTATATGTACTAGTTCATTATCTTCGTCCCTTTCTCTTGATTCTCTTTCGATGGTATGTATCCTGGGTACTCTTCTTGCAGGTTTCTGTATTCAGTGCAAAAGATACCATGTCCCGTCCGGTTGCCCCAACAAATGCACGTTTCTGGCTCGTCTTCATGGCCAAGGCTTTCCTTTCAAAGAGCTCTTGATCAATTGCCTCCAGTTTTGACGTAACAAAATTGACGTCATCCTGACTCATGCAATTTCGGTCAATGTCCTTGAATTTTTGGAAATTATATGCTCTTTTTTTTTGACATTGCTCCTTTGGTTGTTGGGAACACAACTGGTTCATGTTGAAGGCTAGTGTAGTAGTTCTGTCGCCCTCTTCATCGTCGCTCTCTTCATCCTGTGCAAAATCGCTGTTTCCGTAGTCTGAGGGTGAACACGTTTCAACAGTATGGTATGCGTTTGTTTGACTTGGAGATTCGCTAAAGGTTCCAGTATCAGGATACTCATTCAGCGTGTAATTCCAACAATGTGGGATGGGGCTGAGATATATATCCATCAAGTCTTCAATGGTTGATTTGCAACAACTAGCTTTTGCAAATATCCGTGGATACATAGTAGTTTGGTCCGGACTCGTAATACTTTTCAACAAGGATTGCGTCTTCACCACTATTCCAAAATGTTCTTTCTTCTGGAGTTCACCAAAGTTGTGAGTGATTTCCTCATAACCTTGTTTAAAAGCGTAATAAGCATAATCTGAGCGCCAGCGACATGCAAAATCGTTGATGTCATAATGGTGCTCCAACGCTATCAAGTGTCTACAGGGGATACCATACTGATGTCCAAACCCACAAGAACAAGTCAGCACTACCCTGGACGTGTCGTTGGTGCATGCTTTAACATCCAACTTATGAGCTGTGCGAAACTTTGGTCGTCCCTTCACGCCTGGTGGACAGCGGACTAACGTTGAGGGGGGTCCTGCACAAATAAGAAAGAACGCTTTTGATGACAGTTGTACAATGGTGTATTTGTCAAGAGCTTCATCCATTTGTTCAATGATAACAGAAGTGGCAATTGGCACCAACTTTTGAATACATTCTGTGTTGTGCACCGTACACCCTGCGGAAACATACAGTGGTGTAGAGTTTGACAGGCGCATTTGGGTATACTCCCTGTCATGATTTTGAATATCCATATGCGCTGACATGTTGGAAGCCAAAGTCTTCATATTATTTTGGGGCTGTGCTGCCATAGCACTGTGCTTTGCTGCGTAGTTCATGCCCTCTGTGGCATTAGTAGTGTATTCGTGTAAGCATCGAACCTTCTGCTTACAATGGAAGGCAAACTGTTGGTCATCAAGTGTAAGAATGTGATTTAGGATCCATCTAACACATTTTTCTGCAGCTTTGTCCCCAACAAAGCGCCGGAGAACTTGGTTTGTTTGGAGCTCTTGTAGCAGTAAAGCCTTGGACAATTCGAACTCCTTCTTGCTCCGACATGAAGTTCCATCAATCCAGGATCTAACCCACCGCCTCAACTCCAGTAGAATTGCCTGTCCATTAGATGGATTCTTTACCTTGCTATCTTTCGGGCCGTGTTTTAGGAATGTTTTTTCTATGAGATGATGTCCGCATCTACCGCAAATTGCATTCTTCACATAACGAAAGATGGTCTGATCGACAGCATTGTACTCACTTGCATCGCCGTCGGTCAACATGAGGTGCACTCGTTTCAGGTTTTCTACACCAAGCATTGCCGGTAAAGCCTCTAAGAATATCCAACGGTAGAAAGCTTGTGACTCATTTGGCATGAAAACATGGATAACAACAAACGCCTTCCCAAACCTGTCCCTACCGCAAATGAGCAGAAGTGGGCGTCCTTCATTATTGGTCTTGTGAGTAGTATCGATGAAGAGTACTTCTGGGAATCAAAGGAACTGACGGTAGTTGTTCTCATCCATCCATGCTGCTCCAAGCATAACTAGGTTTCCAGAGAGATAAATTGTGTGCTGAAGAGTCTTCATGTGCTCCTCTGCTTCAGATACCAGTGTTCCCATAGGGGCAACGGTTTTTAGGCCTGCTTCCACCTAATGTGACCTGGCAAACAAATTTTTCTCTTTTTGTTCAATGGAGACGTTGGAAATGGAGTACAAGCCTCTTGGTGCTTGCTGCTTTGTGGCCATTGTCTCCTTTACACCACAGATGCCATCAGTTCCGCTCTTCTTCTGCTGGGGCAAACAGGCATCTTCGTTGGAATTTAGGAGCTCCACATTGGAAGAATCTGCTACAGCAATGGTTCTGCCACTACCAAGCTTCAAGGATGCTGCTTTGATAGCCTTGGCTTCAATTGCCTCTAGCCTTTCATGAATGAATTCAGTCCGTGTCAATTGGTCGTCAACAGTCAACGTGGATGTGAAGTGACAAAACTGTTGCCGTATCATTGGGGCTGCAGCGGCTTGAATCACTGTGCGCCTTGCAGCCAGACCACCGCGACCCATTAGCGGCGGACTTACAATAGGTATAACCGCAGGTCTTCTCTTTTCCAAATCAAAGTTTGTGTTGCCACTGGCAGCTGCTGCAATTTTGTTTGTTCTGGATTGGCTGAATTGGGACAGTACCTTGGCCCGTTGCTTATATTGTTGTGCAGAAAGGAAAAGCGATCTGTTCCTATCCCTTGATACCATAAAACTCCCTTCTGCTAGTTTGTCCACGCTTAAGTTGGCAACATTTTTAGCATGTACAATAGAATGCACGTCCTCCTGCTGCGGAATTCTTGGGCATGCGGGAATAGAGACATAGCCGTGCTTCAACTCAAGAAGCATCTTCCGAGATTGAGTACCAGTAACTGCTGCCTTCTGTTGAGCAATGACGGCTTGTCGAGCTACTTTTGTGAGGGTGTGTGCCTTTATTGGTAACTCGACCGCCGGTTTTGCATGATATCTATGGACTGTGCTTCCAGTACAGGAAACATAGATGTAGGATGGTTCACTTGCCTTTTTGCTCTTGTGAATACGCAGTCGCAGTCGGCAGGGGCAAAGCTTGTCTCCTGTGGTGTCCTTTGAAGTATGTGTAGCACGGGGTTGCGTTAGGCCATCTGGACGATTCCTTAAGCGATCATGGGGGTAGGACTTGTGTCGGTACTGGAGAAGGACCCCCTTTTCATTATATTGCTCTGAGTCTTGTAATTTTGTCCCATGATATGGCTTTGATCTATAACAAGCCAACCAGCCTTTTGAGACGTCATATATGAATTCGCTTCCATGCTTGAGACCAATTACTTTCAAATGGTGAAGCAAATCTTTCAGACCTTTTTTGGTGGGTGGCCATTGCTTTGGATCAAATTTTGCAGCTCTTGTTTCAATGGCGTTGGTGACAAACGAGAACAAATCAGCAGATTCACCATCATAATCTACAAGACCGTCAAAGGGGAGCTTGGCGCACCATGTTCGTGCTTCAGCAACTTTGATTTGTAGTCCTTCTTCCAATTCTTCCTGGGTGAGATCTGACGCATTTTCTAAAGACATTGAAAAGGATGGGGGGGAAGGGGAAGGTAGTGCTACTAGTATGCTTGTTTCACAGGAAATTTATTTCAATTTCACTCCAGTTACTTTGATGATTTGCGGAGCGCCAAGTCCGAATTCAATTTTGGCGCCAATGTCTTTTGCCAGTCAAAGAAGTCGGCTAGGAGTCAGACAGACGACTGTCAATCCACTTGGACCGATCAAACAGTCCTGGCAGGCGCGTGACCGGCCGGCAACATTTGGGTCGCTCTAACAGGGTCGTTCCGAATAAAAATTACTTGCTTTGCAATGTGTGTTGGGATATGACGAAATATGAGTTTTTACGTTTCAAAAGAAACTATTCAAGTACGAGGTTTTCGACACGTGCGATCGGACTTTGATCGTGCACGATGTCGGGATTCGACGCAAGTATGCCGGATGCAAGTCTGTTGGACAATCTGTATCCACACAAACAGGAAAAGATCCTGTACAAGTGGAATATTGATGTTGTGTACGATGCAGTAGGGAATAATGCAAGATATCCCAAAGTACTGCATTCAACACAGAATTGTCGTAGAAGTTGAATCGAGTTCTGTAAACAAGGGATTTTCCAAGGGAAAATCGTCGAACTCACTTTTGTGATTGAATCATCATTCAAGCCAAACATTAATCAAATAGGAACAATTTCACTCAAAGTATACCTAGACACAGGAGAACTATTGTCGTGAAAGTGTTGTACAATCGATTACGAATTTAGATTGCAGAGAGTTTGTTCTGAGAGCTAAAGGCACTCACAATAGAGCACATTTTGCTTTATTCTAACATTCAATCACAAAAGGCAACAAAACAAATTTACGTCAAGAACAGCACTGCCTTATCTACAAAGGAGTGAGTGATTCGTTGACTATGGGACGTTCTTCATCCTGTGGAGGAAAGGGACGTGTGACTCCTCAGAAAGTCAAGAGCAATTCGAGTTCAACAGTTGTGAAACATCTATTTTCAACAAAAGATGAAAACGATGGAAAGGCAAGATTGTCGCCAAAGAAAGAGTGCTTGACTATATCCAAGCTTCTGGAATGAAATGTTCCGAAGACATGGTGAAATCAATTTGAGATGGAGAGTCGATCGACTTCAATGCGATCGCTCCAACATTGAATTCTCCAACTCAAACTGACGCTGTTGCAAGAGAAACAGAGATGGCTCAAAACAAGATTCTCTGTTCTGCAAAGCTTGACGAGAACATGCAAAGATCAGCCTACTTCAAAACAAACAGAACTGTGAAATCAAATATCATGCTTAAGTTTGTGACAAAAGCGATGGATATCAAGCTTTGAGGTGAAGCCGATTTCACCACTACTCTTGACGATCCAATCGAACTCTTGAAACGTATTGAACAATTCATGAAGAAGAGTGCTGATGCTGAGTATGATTTCTTGGATTTCTGGGAAGCCAATCAAAAGTTCTTTGCTATGAAGCAAGGAACAACCAAAAACTTGATGCATTTCAAGGAACGATTCTTGAGACAGGCTGAAGTCCTGCAAGATCTATATGGTGTTGCCTGGTTCCGAAAGTTTGCAGTCAAGACGAAAGCGTATGCTGCTATTGATAGCACCGATACTACTGCTAGAGACAAGTTCAAGGATGATATCTTTGAAGCAGTTTGTTGGGATATGACGAAATATGAGTTTTTACGTTCCAAAAGAAACTATTCAAGTACAAGGTTTTCGACACGTGCGATCGAAATTTGATCGTGCAAGATGTCGGGATTTGACGCAAGTCTGCCGGGCGCAAGTCTGTGGGACAATCTGTATCCACACAAACAGGAAAAGATCCTGTACAAGTGGAATATTGATATTGTGTACAATGCAGTAGGGAATAATGCAAGATATCCCAAAGTACTGCATTCAACACAGAATTGTCGTAGAAGTTGAATCGAGTTCTGTAAACAAGGGATTTTCCAAGGGAAAATCGTCGAACTCACTTTTGTGATTGAATCATCATTCAAGCCAAACATTAATCAAATAGGAACAATTTCACTCAAAGTATACCTAGACACAGGAGAACTATTGTCGTGAAAGTGTTGTACAATCGATTACGAATTTAGATTGCAGAGAGTTTGTTCTGAGAGCTAAAGGCACTCACAATAGAGCACATTTTGCTTTATTCTAACATTCAATCACAAAAGGCAACAAAACAAATTTACGTCAAGAACAGCACTGCCTTATCTACAAAGGAGTGAGTGATTCGTTGACTATGGGACGTTCTTCATCCTGTGGAGGAAAGGGACGTGTGACTCCTCAGAAAGTCAAGAGCAATTCGAGTTCAACAGTTGTGAAACATCTATTTTCAACAAAAGATGAAAACGATGGAAAGGCAAGATTGTCGCCAAAGAAAGAGTGCTTGACTATATCCAAGCTTCTGGAATGAAATGTTCCGAAGACATGGTGAAATCAATTTGAGATGGAGAGTCGATCGACTTCAATGCGATCGCTCCAACATTGAATTCTCCAACTCAAACTGACGCTGTTGCAAGAGAAACAGAGATGGCTCAAAACAAGATTCTCTGTTCTGCAAAGCTTGACGAGAACATGCAAAGATCAGCCTACTTCAAAACAAACAGAACTGTGAAATCAAATATCATGCTTAAGTTTGTGACAAAAGCGATGGATATCAAGCTTTGAGGTGAAGCCGATTTCACCACTACTCTTGACGATCCAATCGAACTCTTGAAACGTATTGAACAATTCATGAAGAAGAGTGCTGATGCTGAGTATGATTTCTTGGATTTCTGGGAAGCCAATCAAAAGTTCTTTGCTATGAAGCAAGGAACAACCAAAAACTTGATGCATTTCAAGGAACGATTCTTGAGACAGGCTGAAGTCCTGCAAGATCTATATGGTGTTGCCTGGTTCCGAAAGTTTGCAGTCAAGACGAAAGCGTATGCTGCTATTGATAGCACCGATACTACTGCTAGAGACAAGTTCAAGGATGATATCTTTGAAGCAGTTTGTTGGGATATGACGAAATATGAGTTTTTACGTTCCAAAAGAAACTATTCAAGTACAAGGTTTTCGACACGTGCGATCGAAATTTGATCGTGCAAGATGTCGGGATTTGACGCAAGTCTGCCGGGCGCAAGTCTGTGGGACAATCTGTATCCACACAAACAGGAAAAGATCCTGTACAAGTGGAATATTGATATTGTGTACAATGCAGTAGGGAATAATGCAAGATATCCCAAAGTACTGCATTCAACACAGAATTGTCGTAGAAGTTGAATCGAGTTCTGTAAACAAGGGATTTTCCAAGGGAAAATCGTCGAACTCACTTTTGTGATTGAATCATCATTCAAGCCAAACATTAATCAAATAGGAACAATTTCACTCAAAGTATACCTAGACACAGGAGAACTATTGTCGTGAAAGTGTTGTACAATCGATTACGAATTTAGATTGCAGAGAGTTTGTTCTGAGAGCTAAAGGCACTCACAATAGAGCACATTTTGCTTTATTCTAACATTCAATCACAAAAGGCAACAAAACAAATTTACGTCAAGAACAGCACTGCCTTATCTACAAAGGAGTGAGTGATTCGTTGACTATGGGACGTTCTTCATCCTGTGGAGGAAAGGGACGTGTGACTCCTCAGAAAGTCAAGAGCAATTCGAGTTCAACAGTTGTGAAACATCTATTTTCAACAAAAGATGAAAACGATGGAAAGGCAAGATTGTCGCCAAAGAAAGAGTGCTTGACTATATCCAAGCTTCTGGAATGAAATGTTCCGAAGACATGGTGAAATCAATTTGAGATGGAGAGTCGATCGACTTCAATGCGATCGCTCCAACATTGAATTCTCCAACTCAAACTGACGCTGTTGCAAGAGAAACAGAGATGGCTCAAAACAAGATTCTCTGTTCTGCAAAGCTTGACGAGAACATGCAAAGATCAGCCTACTTCAAAACAAACAGAACTGTGAAATCAAATATCATGCTTAAGTTTGTGACAAAAGCGATGGATATCAAGCTTTGAGGTGAAGCCGATTTCACCACTACTCTTGACGATCCAATCGAACTCTTGAAACGTATTGAACAATTCATGAAGAAGAGTGCTGATGCTGAGTATGATTTCTTGGATTTCTGGGAAGCCAATCAAAAGTTCTTTGCTATGAAGCAAGGAACAACCAAAAACTTGATGCATTTCAAGGAACGATTCTTGAGACAGGCTGAAGTCCTGCAAGATCTATATGGTGTTGCCTGGTTCCGAAAGTTTGCAGTCAAGACGAAAGCGTATGCTGCTATTGATAGCACCGATACTACTGCTAGAGACAAGTTCAAGGATGATATCTTTGAAGCAGTTTGTTGGGATATGACGAAATATGAGTTTTTACGTTCCAAAAGAAACTATTCAAGTACAAGGTTTTCGACACGTGCGATCGAAATTTGATCGTGCAAGATGTCGGGATTTGACGCAAGTCTGCCGGGCGCAAGTCTGTGGGACAATCTGTATCCACACAAACAGGAAAAGATCCTGTACAAGTGGAATATTGATATTGTGTACAATGCAGTAGGGAATAATGCAAGATATCCCAAAGTACTGCATTCAACACAGAATTGTCGTAGAAGTTGAATCGAGTTCTGTAAACAAGGGATTTTCCAAGGGAAAATCGTCGAACTCACTTTTGTGATTGAATCATCATTCAAGCCAAACATTAATCAAATAGGAACAATTTCACTCAAAGTATACCTAGACACAGGAGAACTATTGTCGTGAAAGTGTTGTACAATCGATTACGAATTTAGATTGCAGAGAGTTTGTTCTGAGAGCTAAAGGCACTCACAATAGAGCACATTTTGCTTTATTCTAACATTCAATCACAAAAGGCAACAAAACAAATTTACGTCAAGAACAGCACTGCCTTATCTACAAAGGAGTGAGTGATTCGTTGACTATGGGACGTTCTTCATCCTGTGGAGGAAAGGGACGTGTGACTCCTCAGAAAGTCAAGAGCAATTCGAGTTCAACAGTTGTGAAACATCTATTTTCAACAAAAGATGAAAACGATGGAAAGGCAAGATTGTCGCCAAAGAAAGAGTGCTTGACTATATCCAAGCTTCTGGAATGAAATGTTCCGAAGACATGGTGAAATCAATTTGAGATGGAGAGTCGATCGACTTCAATGCGATCGCTCCAACATTGAATTCTCCAACTCAAACTGACGCTGTTGCAAGAGAAACAGAGATGGCTCAAAACAAGATTCTCTGTTCTGCAAAGCTTGACGAGAACATGCAAAGATCAGCCTACTTCAAAACAAACAGAACTGTGAAATCAAATATCATGCTTAAGTTTGTGACAAAAGCGATGGATATCAAGCTTTGAGGTGAAGCCGATTTCACCACTACTCTTGACGATCCAATCGAACTCTTGAAACGTATTGAACAATTCATGAAGAAGAGTGCTGATGCTGAGTATGATTTCTTGGATTTCTGGGAAGCCAATCAAAAGTTCTTTGCTATGAAGCAAGGAACAACCAAAAACTTGATGCATTTCAAGGAACGATTCTTGAGACAGGCTGAAGTCCTGCAAGATCTATATGGTGTTGCCTGGTTCCGAAAGTTTGCAGTCAAGACGAAAGCGTATGCTGCTATTGATAGCACCGATACTACTGCTAGAGACAAGTTCAAGGATGATATCTTTGAAGCAGTTTGTTGGGATATGACGAAATATGAGTTTTTACGTTCCAAAAGAAACTATTCAAGTACAAGGTTTTCGACACGTGCGATCGAAATTTGATCGTGCAAGATGTCGGGATTTGACGCAAGTCTGCCGGGCGCAAGTCTGTGGGACAATCTGTATCCACACAAACAGGAAAAGATCCTGTACAAGTGGAATATTGATATTGTGTACAATGCAGTAGGGAATAATGCAAGATATCCCAAAGTACTGCATTCAACACAGAATTGTCGTAGAAGTTGAATCGAGTTCTGTAAACAAGGGATTTTCCAAGGGAAAATCGTCGAACTCACTTTTGTGATTGAATCATCAATTCAAGCCAAACATTAATCAAATAGGAACAATTTCACTCAAAGTATACCTAGACACAGGAGAACTATTGTCGTGAAAGTGTTGTACAGTCAATTCCGAATTTAGATTGCAGAGAGTTTGTTCTGAGCGCTAAAGGCACTCACGATAGAGCACATTTTGCTTTATTCTAACACTCTTCCCTTCTATGATCAGAGCCAGTCAATTGATCACACACTACAAGTCACAAGGCGTCCTTACATCCACTTGATTCTCCATTCAACTTCAGAGGTGGTTCTTGACGCAATGGGCGATGCAAGGATATCGTCCATTAGACTGGACGGAACGGCTCAAGCCGTCTGATGTTGATCCTTTCACGGATCGCATCTGTGCGCTATTCTGTAATCAAATTCTTTTTGCTTTGCGTTCTGTCTCCTCAAGTTTTCATTGATCTTGTACTGTCTCTTTTTGCTTATTTGGACTCTTCTGTCTCCTCAAGTTTTTATTGATCTTGTACTGTCTCTCTTGTCTTATTTGGACTCTTCCCTTCAGACGGCTTCTCCATTCGCGGAAGCTGAGAGAAGCAGTCGGCAATCGCGTTATCAAAGAATAATACATCATATAAAAGAGTAATACATCATTGTGAGTTCAAGTTTTGTGAAATTTTTGTAGCCAGAACGACGCGCAACAATATCATCAATCAAAGGCAAGGGGTATACTTTTTGCTTGAC